GGGCCTAGGGCGGAGCACACTCAGAGCCCCGGGGCGGTCCCCTCGCCGCCGCGCCCCGGCCCCTGCTCCTCGCAAGGCTCAGCGGAGAAGAGCCGGGAAACACCGCGGGAGCCCGAGTAGGGAGGTGACACCCGCCCGGGGCGGTGCACGGCCCGATCTGCGCGCCCATGCCGACCCGCGGAACCGCTCTGCCCCGGTGACCCGACCCCGAAACCCTCGTCAGCGGTGCGGAGCAGAGAGAGGAGACGGAGGGGCAGCCTCTGTGGGACTAACTCATGAAGAACAAGGGTGCCAAGCAGAAGCTGAAACGAAAGGGAGCCGCTAGTGCGTTTGGATGTGACCTGACAGAGTATCTGGAAAGCTCGGGACAGGATGGTAATGTACCCCCTCCCCCTTTTTGTTTAAGAGCTATGGATTCTCTTGGGGTGTGTTGGATGCAGTTCACAAGTTAATGTCTTCCAGGCTCCAAGGGACACTGTGCTTAAAATAAAAAAAAAAAAAAAAAAAAAAAAAAAAAAAAAAAAAAAGTACGATTCTTAAACACAACCCGGCCACCCGGGCGTTCAGGAGCTGTGCCTGTCCTTCCAACGTGTCATAGGAGTGGTTGATGAGTGGTGGTGTAGCTGTGGCTGCCCCCCGCCATTCCTGAGATTGACCCCCGCCCCCGTGAGGCTCTGATCTTAAACTTTGGGTGTTGGAAAGGAAAGATTGGGGACAGGGGGAGGGTGTGACTGACTTGTGGAGCCGTCATCAGTAGGTTTCTCTGGATGTGCCATTGTGCCCATCTTAAATGTCCCTCCTGTACTGTCGGGTTTCACTAGCTCACATCCTTTTTTATTAATGTGGTAGGAGGCAGTGTGGGAGGGGGTTCCTGGCTGGGGGAGTGGTTGCACAAACATTTTCTGTATTTCTGAGTTGACGCCAAAAATATAGTACCTCTCCCAACTCTGCCCACCCCACCCCCAGACCCTTAACCTCCTCTTGGCTTTCAGACCAGCATTTGGTGTGTCACACGCAAGAAGTTTGTTGTAAAAAGGTCAGAGGGCCTCGGCTTGAAAATAGTTTAGGCTATAAAGAAAAGTCATCTTGGGAAAAAAAAAAAAAAAGAGGAGCCAGCAGAGACGATTTAAACATTCGTTGTGTGGGAGAGAATGAAAACAACCTATGGTACAATAACGCCGTTGAAGGGTAAAAGTTTTTGACATAGGAAAGTTGGGGAAATTGAGCATTAAATGACTCCTTTTGTAAAGTTGACTGGTTCTGCACTTGGCCATGACATAAAAAAACAAACAAACAAACAATTTCTTTGGAAGCTTTAGAGAAAGAGAAAAGAGCCCACTACATGGGCCATGTGTTTATTTGGAGATAGGTACAAAAAAGAAAACTTGGGGCCGTGTAACTGGGCAGAATCATTCTGCCACCAGAAAAACTCATCCCCCCAAACAATTTGGCTTGTCCATATCAAGCCTTCATCCCAGAAACAGTGCAGTGCTTTTGTTTCACTTCCCGTTTTTTGAAGACTCAGCACCCCTAGTAATTTGCAGTGGTGTGATATTCCTGTGGTACTCCGGAGTCCAGAGTCTGCTGTGTCATTAGGACAAATGGCTTAGTATTTTAGAGCTGGGAGGAACCACTGGTTTCAAAACTGCCTCTGAAATTGAGGCAAACTGAAGTCAATTCATTGAATTCTCAACAACACTCTGGAGAGGTTGTTTTGAAATAAAATCCCTTAGACTGAGCCTTTTTGAACTTGACAGAAGCCCAAGTACACATCTTAACCACTGTGGTCTGAAATTAAGGAATGAAATGTTTGTCTCCACTTGTTTTTGTTGGGGTCCTAGTGTTAACCTGTAGGTATACTGGGCATGCTCTGGGGATGCTACCTCCTGTCATGTGGGGTTTTACACACACACACACACACACACACACACACACACACACACACACACAGTGAGAATGCTAGCCACGCCCCATTCTTATAAAGTCATGGGTTAAGGAAGAGCCTGAAAACCCTAGGTTTCTGGGAGAGAACTTCAGGGGCACCCTTAGGCAGCTCCTCTTCCACACCTGTCTTTGTATTTTGGACTTCTGTGTGCTTCATACAGTAAAGGAGGAAGGAAACTGATGTTCAGTAGGAAAAAATAATAGAGTGCTGGTACTCTGTGCTTTCCATCCTGCGAAGGAGAGAGGAAGCTTGTCCAAGAGGAGTAAAGATACAAGGCTTGTCTATCACAAAGGATGGAGAAGATCCAGACCTCTTTCTGGCTCCTGTGTGTAAATCAACATTCTCTTTTAACGATCCTCACCCTGGTTTGAAAGCAAACAGCCATGCCACAGATGAGCATCCTTTTAAGACTGAACATACCTGAATAGAGTTTGGTTTTGAAACGAAAGGCAGCTGGCACTCTTGATCCCTACACTGTCGTTGTATGATGTGGAAGTCAGCCATGAATAATAAGTAGTTTATATAAATGATACTAAATAGAATTTCTGCCCCAACACAGCCAAAATTCAATGCTTTCTGTGTGTGTGTGTGTGTGTGTGTGTGTGTGTGTGTGTGTGTGTGTGTGTAGAATTAGTTAATAGACAAGGCCGGGATCTGACTCGGGTGAGAAAAGGTTGAGCAGGGCACTACCCTTTTGCCCATGACCTTGGAAGAGCATCTCAGAATGTTGGAGGTGGTAAATCAGAGTGGTAACCAGAAACCAGGAAGCTGAGAAGGACCTTTCAAGAACCATATCATGGTCATTGAACTTTGGGGTTAAAGGGCAGGGCACAGGACCTAGGTAGAAATGGAAGGGAAATGGGCTTCAGTTTGGGAGCAAAACAATATAGAGGAAGAACAGAGACATAAAAAAAAAAAGAAAAGAAAAGAAAAGAAAAAAAAACAAGAAGATCCTGGGTTGCCGCAGGGAGCAAAGCCGCAGGCTGGAGTGGAGGACAAAGCTGGTGACACTAGCTGAGCTTGGGCCCTCTGGATATGGGGAAGCTACAGCTGTGAAGAGAGCTCTAGGGGAAAAGAGAGAGGCTGAGCACAAAGGATGGCTGTTAGCTACTTTTCTAATTCACCAGACCTAGCCTTGCTACCTCTGATTGGACAAATCAGACAGGGCAGGGTGAAAAAGTGACATTTTTTTTCAGCCTGAAGTGAATATTGCTCATGGCCAGATAGTATGATTAATCTTTGGGAAGTTGAGTTACCTTTTCTCAGGCACATACACATTGAATATACAGTTCCTGCAGGAGCCACATAGATTGACAGGTTCACACCCTGCTGTGACCATCCCCAGCAGCACAGAAGCCTGGTGTGACAATTTCCAACGTCTCCCTTCAGCCTCCAGTGCTGTGGATCAAACGGGGATTCCCCAAAGGTAGCCAAGAGTTCTAATCCTGAGCTACACCCCCAGCCTTTGGCTATTTTTCTGTCACCTGATAAGAGCACCACAGCAGGCCATAAGGTGGCTGTTAGGAACTTTTTCACTTACCCACCAGCAGACTGACTCTGTCTCAATCTGAAGTTCTTCCCCTGGAAACCTGCTAACTCTCTCCTTCTATCTGGGATTCCTTCCCTACTTCCTACTACTGGTGTAAGGAGTCTACTTTTCTCTTTCTTCTTTTTGATCACCAAATGTGGAGGTCTTTTCTTGTATCTATGTGATTAAAAAACACATCAGGTTATTGTTACCTACAGCACTAGGTATGGCACTGGTGTGAGTGAAGCCCAGAGACCGGGAATGTGTTCATGGTCATTTCCCATCTCTCTCTTATGAGCCAAGTATTCTGGGTCTTCTAATAGAGCTTGGGGATGATGGGACCAGGAGCCAGGGGACAAGTAAGAGGTGCTAGGGAGAACTGTTTTGTCCTCTGGGCTGGCCACACTTTAAGAGCTAAGACCTGATTGCCTTTCTGATCCGTCACTGCTCATTTTATTTACTCCTTGGTGAAAAATGAGACTGATCTCATATAGTGCCTTAATGGCACTCAAATGATGGTGACAGATTTTAAGCACCTGGAAAGCTTTTTAAACTATTGATGCCACTGCACATGGTAGCACACACCTGTAGTCCCAGCACTTGGGAGGTTGAGGCAGGTGGATCAAGAGTTTGAAGCTAGCCTGGGCTATATGGCCAGATCCTCAAAGGAAAAGAAAAAGGCAATGCAAGGGCCCATCTCATACCAACTTAATAAAAATCTCTCCTAGATGGTTTTGGTAAGTGGATAGGGTGAAGAGCCTGTGTGCAGTGCATGGTTTGTAGGCCACGTTCCCTGTGTGACTAGAGTCCCCTCTGAATGTTCCATAGAAAGTGTGAACCTTTTAGTTGCTGAAGATGTTTTTTTCCTCATCCTTAGCAGGCTGAAAACATGTATGTATATTAATATAAAACAAAGACTTATGTATGTGTCATAGATTTGATTTGAGAGGTGACAGAAGGTTCCTAAAAAATCACTGGCCAATGCAAATACTATAATACTGAGCTTGCTGGGAGCTTAGTAGTGTTTCGAAGGATGAGGGTGAACAGTGGGAACATCAGTTGTCGCTTCTTTTGATTTCATTTCTGAAGCTAAATAGTTCCCTCACTTTGTTTATCTATCTCCTTTATTTATTAATCCAATAAACAAAGCTCTATTCCAGCCATGTTTTAGATGCAGTGGGAAAATAAGATGGGCGTAGTCTCAGGGATGTGAACCAACCAACCTTCAGACACCAGTTGACTTTGAGGAGGCAGTTGTAGGAGAAAATGCAAAAACTTTGGTCTCCCGTTAAGTAGACAAGATACTGTTAAGTACAGACATAAACAGAGCAAGGTCATAGCAAAGAAGACAAATACTTCTCTGTTTAAGATTTAGTGCTGAGGATGTGACATCTGTCACCCCATTGATCGCCAGGGTTGATTGGCTGATCTGGCTGGCTAGGCGGGTGTCCCCTTTCTCCCTCACCGTTCCATGTGCATCCCTCCTGTCCCTCCCAAAGCTGCGCGCTCAGTCGAAGAGGACGACCTTCCCCGGAATAGAGGAGGACCAGTCTTTGGTCAAGCGTATACGAGTAGCTGCTCTCCCCTGCTAGAACCTCCAAACAAGCTCTCAATATTTAGTGCTGAATGGGGGGACAGGGGCAGTATCCTCTGCAGCTTAATCGTTATCTGGCAAATCATTTGCATGCCTTCCCCAGCTAATACCTTACCAAGAGGGTGGCAGCTATGAAAAGTTCTAGAAGCCTTCCCTAATCCAAGTCAGGGAACTTTGCTGGGAGCTTCCACTAAGACTCCTGGAACACTCCTGCCTAGAATCTCAGCTTTGCTTATTCCCAGATGACTGGCCCTGAAGAGACTTGCTTCCCACCTCTGGGCCCCAGTTTCCCCTCTTGTGAAACAGAG